TAATTCAGTATGCATTTATGAGAAAACCAACTTAAAAATGAAAATTTATGAGTTGTAACATTTGGATGAGGTATAGTCGGTATAATAAGTTTTATCGGAATTGTTTATTAACCAATAGTTATTATAACATCTACAATACTTTGAGTCTAATTTTACTCACATGACTTATAAATAGATCCAAGTCTTACATGACATGGATAGAACTACATAAATTTAATAAAATTTCCTCCAATTCAAAGTGACCGAGTCTCTATTTAAGTTTAAAATAGACTTAATGGTAGACTGATTCTTTTTTTGAATGAACTCAAAATATTACGGATGCTCTAAGAACACAACGTGAAGAATGGTGGAAACATAATGCATGTTTTCTTGTTTTTTTGGCATTTAGCAAAATTGAGGAAACATAATGCATTTTTCCTTGTTTTTCGGCACTTGGCGAAAATTAGAACCATTATGCTAAAATACTTGAAAATTAAAATACGAGGGATTTGAAACAATTTGATCGATGCATCCTCTAATTCACCATGCCTGTATTAAGACTCTTTAGATCCATACTGTATAATATAACACATTCACATGCACTACACCACCTACCTCTACTCTTTCGTTAATCCCCAATAGGGAAAAATGCTCGCGTTCACCAACCACATGTCAAATACTCCGTAATCTTTCAATCAAATTCAACCCATTAATTTTCTGCTACATCAATCGGCGGACATTCTCCATATCCAAAAATGATTAAAACCAATGTAATACGAAACTAGTACAATAATACATAAAAATGATATTAAGAAGTATGAGAATGCTAGCAATACATTACCACATGTTAGCTTTGTAATGGAACATTAAGTGAGAATTAACTTAAATGTTTTCACAATCCTCGACAAGTTTAAAGCTAGTCATTCGAAGTATGGAAACCAAAAGAAAAACAATCCTCGACGTGGTCAAGGAAAATCGCCAACCCTAGTCAAGTCATGTAGGAGATAATCGAACAAGTACAACAACCAACCAACGATCGTGCCTAGCCATATGACTCACGGACACGTGGATGGTCTGGTCTAGCTTGGCCGTAAAAGAAGATCGCCAATCTTAACAAGAACCATGCAGGGATAGTTGATTACATAACAACCATGGCAACCACACCACACAAAGATATCTTCCCCATTCAATATAGAAGATTTATCTTGGCCATTCAAAGAAAATCATCAACTCCACACACCGAATCTCATTTTCCAAAATCATGCTTCAATTCATGTTTCATTCAAATTCATGTTTCATTCCATTGGATGAATGACACGTGCATCAATACGACACGATGACAGCGTGCATCAATATGACATCATAACACGTGTCATTATTCTCTTGCCGACAGCTCCACCTCCATCGTTACCTATTTAAAAGTAAAGAAAAAATAAAGGAAAGATGCCCCCAAAGATTACACTAAACATATGAAAACCAGCACAAACAGTTGATCTCATGAAGTTTGCCCAAAGACTTATTAACATACGAAATTGAAAAAGGAAAGTTCAGCTAGTTCAAGCAAATCAGCAACAATCTAAGAGCTAATCAAGCAAATCAGCAACAATCTATTATATCGAATAAAATTACAAGGAAAAATAAAAGGGATGTTCAAACTAAAATTGAAAAAAAAAAAAAAAAAACGAGAAGAAGAAGGTTGATTCGAGCATGTTAATCTGCAAATCAAGCACAAAATTGGCATCTTTAGAGAAAATGAATCCGAAACCCTAACCCCACAGATTTACCAAATCGAGAGGGGTTTCACCACAATCAAACTCGGCGAGTCGCCGACGAGTCAAAGACCGGACGCCGTCCCTTTCTCCGGCTCAGGGGCGAGTAGATCTGACAAATCGCCGGTGGACATTTCACACCATCAAAGGAGAATCACAAGCCTGACAAATAAGCCTTATACCCCAGCTTAACAATAATGGGATGAGTGTTTGTTGACTAATTTAGTAAGTCTTTATCTTTTGTGCACTCTTACCAATAAGTGGAAGCTAGTTCATAACATACACCATGAAAGACGTATCTGTCAAGCTTGAAATTCTCCTTCGATACTGTGTGAAAAAAGTAATAAAGAGAACTAGTTGAATATAAATGAATAGAAATAGGGTATTTATAGGAAAGGCAGATGTTATCAATGTTAATTGCAAATCTAGACTGTTCCATTCAAATTAGGTACAAATGTAATAAATTTTAGTCTCTAATTTATTTATTAATTAGTTTTCTTTATCCTTGTCTTTATATAACTAGTAGAATACTCGTGTATTATCCGAGCATTGAATTAAGAAACATATATAAAGTATAATTTATTTTTTTTTTAAACTAAAATAATTTGTATTATAAGTAAAGTGTTAAACTATATTTTTTTGAAGCATAATAGTTGAACACACGCATATAACTTTAGAATTTGGATGTTAAAATATATTTTTTAAACTTTATATGCAATTTTATAATTTGGATAATTATTTGTTTATTTATTTTAGATTGAAAGGATAACATTTAAATTATAAACAATGTTATTTTTGTTTTTTAAAAAAATAACATCGTATTAGTTCATCCTTGAAATGAGTAATAAATATTGAAGAATTTTTTTTGGAAATAAATTGATATGACTGATTTAAGTGAAGATAAGTATTAGGAAAAAAAAAATAAACAAAAAGTATTATGATAACGATGAAAGAAAATATGGAATGAAATAAAAACTGTTTAAATAAGGAAAAATCTTTAATGTATTATGAAAATAACCATAGTTAGTTGACATCTGACATGCATCCGAACCTAATTATATATCAATCCAAAACATAAAATTATGACAAATAGGATTTTCAAGTATGCAAGTCTGATAAGGGATACAACAATTTAAATTAATAAATGCACCATGTATTAATTGGCCCATTAACTGACTATATTTTATTTAAATCATAAATATAATTTATTTTATTTGAAAATATAGAAATAAATGAAACTTTTGAGTTGGTTTTGGGTTTTAAGAGTCTAGAAAGGGTTGGTTGGGCCCATCGTATGTTGATTTCAATATTGATTTTAGATCCAAGTCAACAACCCTTATTAAGAGCATCTCCAATGGTATATTATCTATTTAGAGATGAATAACATGAAAAAGAAAATTACAAAATTTTATCTTCAATAGTTAATGTAAACTCCTTAACTCACGCATAGAGCTTTCACTTTTCGCTCTTATCCAACTTTAGTTCTCACCTCTACTCTAGCAGCACTAACTCATACATTGAACTCTAACTCACACCTCGACTCTAGTTCATACTCTAGCTCTAACTCATATGTGTTCTAGCTCTAGTTTACGTTTCGAGCCCTAGATACAACTTACACTTCAAACTCTAACTCTAGCTCACACAAGTTGTAGCTCTAGGGTACACCTCAAACTCTAGATCTATCTCTATCTTCTAGATCTAGTTGTACCACCTTTTGAGCTCTAGTTATAACTCACTCGTTTAGCTTAAGCTCATAACTCTAGTTCTCAATAGAACTCAATCTCTCGAACAAACAAGTTATCAATGTAAATCGGGCGAGTGTAAGTTATATAATATCAAACTTCAACGTAGATCAACATTCACATGGCTCGATCACTATGAATATCATTATCCACCAGCCAGTCGTAAGCCATATATAAGCATTCACGTTCACCAACGGATCAAGACGATCTATAGGTCACACCTTTTTCGTTGAGGCAGCCAAAACAAATTACATGTCCTTTAAGATGTACCGTCGATTCCGCCCGAATAAACTATTCTTATTGTTACCGAAAATTGAAGCCAGGCTACATACATAATAAAAATTGTATCTTGCATAAGAGAATTTTTAATAAAATAACTTTTATTTGCAATTTTTTTACAAAAATCTATAGATCATAATACGCCAAGACTACAGAGATTATATTGTTACAACTAATGTAAAAATTAATATATAAGAATAGTTAATATTTTTATTTTCAATTTTTATGAAAAAAATATTATATACACACATAATAACATATACATAAATATTTATTTGCATATTGATGTGCCCATAAAGAATACTAATTCTATTTTATTTTGTTTCATATATATTGTTTTTTCTCATCCAAATATGAAAAGCATAATATATAAAGCCCGTCTTATTTTAATTCATTCTTATACACCACGGTGGCTTTTCTACCCTATCTCAGTTTTTCTTCTTCTCCTGTTCTTGAAGTTCGTTAAACTGATCTACTCAGAGGTTGATTCTCTTTTGATTTGGCCTGAAATTTATGTTGTTGATGAGGTTCTGCAGATTCAGCCTCTGTTTTTTTTTTTTTTTTTTTTTTTTT